CCCCAGTGTTTCCTGCACTGTCCTCCAGTGTTTCCTCCAGCAGGCTGAGAGAGGTCGTCAGTGGGAACCTTTTCCAGCAGAGAGACCTGCAGGGTTTAAGATCAGACAGCAGCGCTTCAGGTGCCTTTACCTGCCAAGTATCACCAAAACCAGTTTCAGTTCACTGCTGCTGCTGTTCAGGAGCTGAAACTAACTTGTTTTTCTGTATGTGTCTCAACGTGCTTTAAACGAGCACAGCGGGGCGACTTCAGCAGCTGTCATTCCAGTTTCAAACATCTGGATTTGTAATTGATAACCATTTTAAAATGCATTTGCCGACCTTACAGCACCAACAGGTTTAACTTATTTTTAACCCTATTCAGCACTTTTCAGGCCATTTGGTTCAGGTGACAGGTCCTGTTTTTTTTTTATTTTTGAAGATTTTTTTTTAATATATAAATAGATTTTTATTTTGTCATGCATTTGGAACCAAATATTCATCAACTTATCAGAAAATGTATTGGAAACTCCTCTTTTCTATCAGATATAATTGTTACTTTAGCTACACGCCGTACCAACAACATCCACGCATGTTGCTACCAAATATCAAGGACGTGGACAGAGGAGATCCCAGAAGAGGTGTGCCTGTCCACGCCACTGGCAACTGGCCAATTACACTCAGTAGCGTACAAGTCTTATCTATGTTCAGGGCAGGCCCAGCCCAAGAAGATATCTGCAACCGGAAACCAAAAAAGCTCAGTTCAGCTGGATATGAGATTCCTCTCTGTCCGTCTGAATCCAGCTCTGCAAAACTTTTCATGTGTAAACTGTTTAACCTGAGACCTGAACTTTTCTCTGACTACTTCTTGGAGCTGTTTCAACAAAAGAACCGAGTCCAACAGCAGGAAGATTCTTATTGAGGTTAGGAATCTCTTTTACGACACCATCCCACATGACTGTGGCCTACTGGAAGTGACACAGCACCGTTACTGGGTCCGACGTCCACTGAGTCGTTTGGTAACATCTTGGTGTCGTAACAACGTGGTTTCAGCTTTTTCTGCTTCCCACAAGTGGCCAAAGATGAATTGAAGCTTCTGGAAATGACACTGATAACAGCTGTGAGCCTGAGCTACAGTAAAGAAGCTCCACAGGGCTCAGTCATCTCTAAAAGATTCCAAATGTGACACTGCACAACAGAATATATGTTTTATTTCAGTGTTTCAGTGTCAGATTTTGATCTTTAAATGAGGAGAAACGAAGAGATTTCAAGATTTTCTGACAACATATTTAAACTATGTTTGGAAAAAATATCACATTAGTCACAAATTATTATTCATGATATATTTTTATAATCTATGCTGTAAAAAAATCTATTAACAAAATAATGGAAATGACAGGAAAAATACTATTTTGACCTTGTTGTTTAAAATACTGTAAATCTGTGTAATTTTACAGTCCTACACTGTATAAGAAGTAATTGTGGTTTGTAAAAATACAAATTTCTGATGTGGACATGATTTACAGGTTAATCAGCTGTTTAATGGTTCAGATGTAAATTAATATTTTTTTTCTTTGACTTCATTAGATATTATGTGTAATTTAGCAAAACAGAGAAAGTCTGTAAGACAAAAGTTGAAAAATGACTACTATTTTTACTGAATATACGTCGTTTTTCTTTTAAATAACAGCAAATATCTGGAAAATAGTTATATTTCTGCTGATTTAAACAGTAAAAAAATGTGTAACTTTACTGTGAAAGNTGTCAGATTTTGATCTTTAAATGAGGAGAAACGAGAAGATTTCAAGATTTTCTGACAACGTATTAAAACTATGTTTGGAAAAAATATCATATTAGTCACAAATTATTATTCATAACATAGTTTCATAATCTACACTGTAAAAAAATCTATTAAAAAATAATGGAAATGACAGGAAAAATCCTATTTTGACCTTGTTGTTTCAAATACTGTAAATCTGTGTAATTTTACAGTCCTACATTGTATAAGAAGTAATTGTAGTTTGTAAAAATACACATTTCTGATGTGGACATGATTTACAGGTTAATCAGCTGTTTAATGGTTCAAATGTAAATTAATGTTTTTTTTTTTTCTTTGACTTCATTAGATATTATGTTTAATTTATCAAAACAGAAAAAGTCTGTAAGATAAAAGTTGAAAATGTATTTACTATTTTTACTGAATATATGTCATTTTTCTTTTAAATAACAGCAAATATCTGGAAAATAGTTATATTTCTGCTGATTTAAACAGTAAAAAAATGTGTAACTTTACTGTGAAAGTGGGAAAAAAAGCAAAATATCAGCAAATCTTTAGAAAAAAAATTACAATTAAAAACTATAACTTTTTTTTAATTTATTTATTTATTTTACAGTGTATGTCTTCTAACGTCCAATTGGAATCTTTAATTAACATTAATTGCATATTTTAGAGATTATGTGTCCAAAGGTTAAAACTTTAAATGATCAATATTTGTGTATCCATGTTTTTTTAATATATATAATTAGGAACCATGAGAAGATTTTAAGATGTTCTAAAAGGTTCTCAAACTTTGTCCTGGAAATAATATATCAGTCATAAATTATTGTTCATAACAGAAGATTTGAATGTCTTAAAACTCGTGGCTTCTTCAATTCATCTTATTTGTGCATTTTGCGTAAATATGAAGGTTTCTTCTGCAGCTTCAGCGCGCAAAGAAAAAAAAAAAAAAAGAAAAGTGTCGGCACAGCGGCTTGGTAACCGCCCTTTAACGCATCACTCGTGAAGCCCTTCCTCTCCGGAGTTTCCAAGTTTTCCTCTTCAGTTAGGTCGAGCGGGGTAATTTCCCGAATAGCTCAACAGTCTGTTCTTTTATTGACATGTTCTGCAGACGTGTGCCGAGCAGCGCAGAGTCTTTCCACTGACGCTATGTGGCTGCGCTGCGGGTGCGTCGCTGCGCCGTTCGGCCGCCGCGTCTTCACGTCTCGTCTCCGGCTTCTGGGTCTCCGGAGATGCAACACGGCGGCGTTCATGCCGGAGGCTGCGGGCTTCGGAGCGGTGTCGGGCCGCTCAGCGCTGCAGGAGTTTTCCGTCTCCAACAGTGAGCGCTTCTGGGCCGCCGTGGCGCGTCACAGGCTGAGCTGGATCAGTCCTTTCCAGTCGGTGCAGGACTGTGACCTGAGCTCAGGCAGGATCCGCTGGTTCGAGGGAGGAAAGCTGAACGTGTCTGGTGAGAGCATTTGGGTTTTGTTCATAGAAAGTGAAAGCATCACCTCTCAACCTACTTCCTTATCTATTCCAAACAGTACCCTGAACGCACCACACTGTTTGGATAGATATGCTGTTAGAGCTCATTATCTGCTTATAATTAAGACATTTCTCTGTGTTTCTTCATGCAGTGAACTGCCTGGACCGCCACGTGCACACCTGTCCTGACAGGGTGGCACTGATCTGGGAGAGAGATGAGAAGGGGTCAGAGGTCAAGTACACCTACAGGTGAGCGGTTGGACCTGGAGTTGTGTTGGTATCGAGGCCGCCGTGGCTCATTGGTGTCTTTGCAGGGAGCTGCTGGAGATGACGTGTCGCGTGGGCAACCTGTTGCGGCGGCACGGCGTGGAGAAGGGCGACTGCGTCACCATCTACATGCCCACCTGCCCCCTGGCTGTGGCGTCCATGTTGGCCTGCGCTCGCATCGGCGCCGCGCACAACGTGGTGTTTGCAGGCTTCAGTGCAGAAGCCCTGGCAGAGAGAATCAGAGACGGTGAGAGCAGACTTCCACCAAACATCTTAGAACTGCTCCTGTCAGTGTCTTCACATCAGCATCAGAGCAAACGACTGTGAACGTGTTTGTTGTGTAGTTCTGCTTAGCTCTGAGCTTCCTGTCAGTTCACTGTATACTTTCAACCTGCATCTTTACTGTTCTAGTTCAGTCTCTCTTCAGTGTTTCTAGCCTTGGACAGGCAGCTGTTTCCACCCTCTGTACTCTAACTTGCAGAACAAGAAGGAATATCTATGAGCGCTTTTCAGACAGAAAAAGTGCATTTTGTCATTAAGACAGGTCACGTTTATGTTAATGCCCGTATGGCTCTTCAGACGTCTCCGCCGATAAAAATTTGGACACATCAACTGATGTATAATTACATAATTTAATATACTCATAAACAACAGACAAAGTCCAAACTAATAGCAGCTTATTAAACCTCTAAATAACCGATACCCACATTTTGTTTTCCTAATCACTCAAATATCTGCCCGAGTGTGATGATAATTTAACTACTGCTTTACCAAAAGTAGAATAAATACATGTGAGGTGAGGACACGTACACAAGGTCATTTACTGTTAGATCCTGATCAGTCCTGAGGATCATTTATAAATGTCAAAATGTTGCGTTACTAAAAAGCAATCCTGGTTGTTGGAGGAGTCACTAAATGCATCCAAAGATGTTCCAACACCATCCAGAGATATAAACAGCTGCTTTGTGATGACTTATTTACGTTTTAATCTTTCCTTTCCGTTTGCTGAGTGCCAAAGCGGGCCGTACCACATTTTCTACTCTTTGAGAAAAAAAAACTAGTTTGTCTTGCTAAACAGCATTGCAGGGTCACTGTCAGGAACTAGAGATGCTTTTGATGACCACGGGGTAGAAACAGATGCTTGGTGGTGGTTAATTAGGTTTTTGTTTTACCTTACCATACCTACGAGTTGAGTCACGGCTGTCACAACCCAGCAAATAGGTTGTGGCAAAAGAGGGGAGACGACACAGGTGTTGTCAGATTTTAACGTAAAGTTTTATTAATTGGTTAAATTAATTTATTCAAAGTGAGATGTGTATGTCAGTGATGTCAGTAGTGTGGGTGCAGATGTCTGGATGCCTGGGTGCGATGTGGTGGAAGGTGTTGTCTGATGTGAGAACCAAACCAAAATAACACGAACTAGTCGACCATAAACGCTTATCAAAGAATCATAAAACTCAGCTTTGGATTTTTTGTAAGTAGTAAAGTTACTGCTGTTGTTCCACGTGCATAAATTGCGTACAACTCTCTCACGTTGGAGACGCTCATATGGATCGGGGGCTACTTGCTATCAGTTCAGAGAAAAGACTCCTCAAAAAAAAATAAACCTCAGCTCCAGTTAACATTTTGTCAAACCACAGATCACATTCATGACTGGGGAGTGTCACGAGCCTGTTACAGATTCTGTCCCCGTCGCAGTAAAGTTGAATTTTTATGGACATTTGTAAATGTAGGGCAAAGTGAGTAAGGTGATTCTGTGTTTTTGGCAGCAAACTCTGTCTTTTACTCTCTGTGACATTAAAGGACAAATTGGTACTGAACTGCTTATAAAGCCGAATAGCTTCAAACGACCTGAAATGTTATCGCCTGTGTGCGTCCATCAGTTAATGCAATGCACGCGGTTCAGACTTTTTTGAAACGGAAATGAAATGGAACCAGGTCCGACCTAGTGAGATGCAACTTTTATGGAAAGGTCTCCAAGATGCTCCTTCAGACGTGAAGCCAACATGTTCAGATGCTGTCGGAAAGTGGATGTTTGAAATGGGCTAAACTTGCATAGTTTAGGTAAACAGAAGCAGTTTGCCAGCATTATAGTGTCATAACGTCATGGTTCAGCTTTGAATCCCAGTAAAAATGCCGACTGGAAGACCAACACAACGAGCTGAAAGGTGCTAAAAAGGTCCACAGGGCTAATCATCATCGCAGGTGATAATTATTTGTGGGTTTCATCACCACAAAAGGCCCCTTTTATATTATAAAAAGTAGTTTTGTTAGTTTCAAATGCACAAATGTTGATCAGGGCAGCATTCAGTGTGAGGACAGACATTCATCAGAGCAAATGTTTAACTCTGTTGTCTTTCATGTTCTTTATCTTTTTATGACGTAATAGCAGTCGGTCACAGTTACACAACATTTAGCACCTCGGATTTATTCAAAGTTAGTTGAATTAAAAGGTGAGAAAACTGCAGCAACAGCAGATTATTGAAAATGTTGGTTTGCTTCGCGTTTGCAGCTCAGTCCAGCACCGTCATCACAGTGAACCAGGGCGTCAGGGGGGGCAAGACCTTAGAGCTGAAGAAGACGGTGGACGCGGCTGTCCAGAGCTGTCCAACGGTACAGCAGGTCTTCGTTGCCATGAGAACAGAGAATCCGGTCGCCATGACAGCCAGGGACGTCGCCATGGAGGAGGTGAGAGAGCAGAGAGCCAATCGGAAGTTGATTAAAAGTCTAATAACAGCGTCGCTTTGGTGTTATTCCTCAATAAATTAGCCCCCCAAAAAATCCATTAGCCCAAATTTTTGTGTCTTTATTTTGACTGGATCAGCTTCTCAGGTAATCAGATTACCCTCTGAAAGCTCATTCTCAACAATCTGATGAATTAGCAAAGTCATTATAAGCTTAGTCCCTCGTAACGTCTCTGGTATTAGTCACGTCACACAACAATGGAAGTTTGAACATCACAGCTCCGTGATGCAGTCTGTTGAGAAAGATCCAGAACTGGTGCTTCTTAGTGGTGAGATTGTTCCGTCAGCTGATTAATGCTTCTGTGCATTCAGGAATGTCTTACAAAGTTATACTACATGTGCCGTCCATCTCCATCATGCTGTGTGGTGTTCACTGTGTTGTGCAGGAGATGATGAAGGAGGACGTGGTCTGTGAACCGGCCGCCATGAACAGCGAGGACACCTTGTTCCTGCTTTACACATCAGGCAGCACGGGGAAGCCCAAAGGCCTCGTCCACACTCAGGCTGGATACCTGCTGTACGCTGCGCTCACACACAGGGTAAACACGACGTTTCCACATCACACAGTTTCTGTTCTAGCTGCTGAAGGCCTTGGACGACCAGAATGTGATCCAGTGTCAGACCACCTGTATCAGAAACCTCACCCTGATCAGAACATAAGACGTTTCACCAGAATGGTGCTCCAGTTTCTGAATGCAGATCAAAGTGTGTTTATAACTGTACTGTAAAGTTTAAACTATAAAGTTTACAGATGCCACATTGTTCTTTTTTTCCTGGAGTGTGTTATACAGCTGCTGTTTTGTGCACGTAAAAGGTCTGCAATAGTAAAAGGTGGAAGCCTGCCAGTGACAGCGCTGGTCTCCCTGCATGTAAATGTTTTACCAGAACAATTCCAGCCGTCGCTATTTTGAGGGGACAGCGTTTGTTTAGCTCTGTCCAGTATGATTGGGATTGGTTTGAAGAAATACAAACAAGCCAGAGGGTTTTATTCCCCCTCTGGCAGAATGATACTGAGGTGCAGTCGGACTGTTCTGTCCTGAAGAATCATCTGACTGTGCTAAAGCTGCAAAGTCTGATTTATTCTCTCCCACAGAAAACACTGCTCCTTACCTTCCCAAAGGCTTTTCTTCCATTACTCATCTGCATCATCGTGTGACACATTTTTCATCACACCTGTCGGGCAGGTAGCTCGACACGCCCTCAAACAAAGAATCAGCAGCTTCTTTGCAGTCCACCAGGATTTCCTCGCTACAGTTGCGTCATCTCTCTGACTTTTTCAGTTCGCAACATAACGTTTAAACCTAAAATTTAAATTTGTCATGCACATTTGTAACATTAATCTTAATGATTTTAAATTATAGAAAAAAACATTAGCTCGCTTTCTTTGAGCCATCTGACCAATCAGAGCAGACTGGGCTGTTCAGGAGGCGGGCTTTAAAGGAACAGCAGCTAAACCGGAGCATTTCAGACAGAGAATAAGAAGAGGTGCTGCAGCAAAGTACGGTAACATTTAGGCAGGTAATCTTATTCTGGTAGACCTCAAAACTACAGTTCTAAACCAGTAAATGTGCACCAACGTGGAACAGAAAAGCATTAATCTGTCTCTGATACGTAACTTGAAGCACTTAAAGAGCACTTTTCTAGAATTTTTTTTTGTTGTTGATCAGACTCTAATCATCTCGTCAATCTTCTCTTTCATCCGCAGTATGTCTTCAACTACCACGACGGCGACGTGTTTGGCTGCGTGGCAGATATCGGCTGGATAACAGGACACAGTTACGCTGTTTATGGACCGCTGGCCAACGGGGGAACCACTGTCCTGTTTGAGAGCACTCCTATTTACCCTGACCCAGGTACTGCGTGAACGCCAGCAGCATGAGCGCAGTTTGATAACAATAAACTGAGGCTTCGAGT